AGGGCACTGCGATGCTATTGATACTGCTTTGCTTCACAACAATGTTTAGTGTCATCAACCATTACTGATTTGACTATTTAAGGTGGGGAAAAGAGGGCACTGTGCTTTGCTGGTTCTTCTCTAGTTAGACAAATTGGTACCAGAAGGTGGTGCTGGGTTAAGCACAGTTACACCATGTTCCCCATGTTGTTTAATATCTATATGAAACCACTGACAGAGATCATCCAGAAATCTGGTGCACAGAGTCAGTACTATGCTGATGACACACAGCTCTGTTTCTCCCTTTTGCCTGTGCCAAGTAAAGCAGTGGAAGTATCTGGAGGCAGTTATGAACTAGATGAGGACCAGTTCAATCCAGGCAGGACTGAAGTGGTCAGAAATACAGTTAATGGAGGATTATGGGGTCAGCCTTTTCTGTATGGGGCTGCACTCTCTTAAAGAAGTAGGTTGGGAGTTTAGCAGTGCTGCTAGAATTAGGTTTCCAGATGGAGGCTCAGATCTCCTCTATGACACACAGAACCCTTTCCTAGCTTTAGCTGGTACACTGGCTGCAGCCTTTCCTTGGCCAACAAGATCTGGCCATGGTTGCCTATGCTCAGATCACATACAGACTGAACTACTGCAATGGACTTTATTTGGGGCTACCCTTGAAGATTGTTCCAAAGCTCTAATTAGTGCAAAATGCAATAGCAAAATTGTGGAATAAAGAAGGTTACAGTGAGTATCTCTGCTCAGTCTGGAAAGAGTTTCACTGGCTACCAGTTTTCAGACATAATTCTAAGGTGCTGTATTACTTTTAAAAACCCATACTGTCTGGAATTGTAATTCTTAAAGCTCCCATACCTATCGACCCATCAGTTAAGATTTTCTGGAGATGCTCTTCCTGGTGTTACCTCATGTGGTCAAGCAGCGAAAAAGAGAAGCAGTAAACGAGGTATTCACAGGCATTTCAGGCAGAACAGGTATTCTGTTGATGATGAAAGACCAAGAAGGATAATGCATGCTGAGAACCTCGAGGCTAGCACCAAGAATGACCATAAGCAGGCTGGAAGAAGAAAGACTTTACAGTACAATTCCGAGCAGAGTCACAGCCTTCTAAGTCCATTGACTACAGTGGAAACAGAAAGGTGTTAACTCTGTTTAGGACTGCCGGTCTCCGTTTTGGGCCAAGGTTTGCTACTAGAATTACAGGATGTGCCTGAAGGTGTAATTAAACCCACAGATTTGTTTTGGGCTCACTGGTGTCAGCAAGCTGCCAAATGTGTTTCTGCTTTCACTTTCATGCACATTCCTTTCCATGTGCTTAATTGCTTTGCCGCAGCAACAAGTATCTTTCAAGGCCGCAGGAGGAGAGCTGCTGGAGACATTGCTTGGGTTATCCCGCGGATGAGTCGTGGGAAGCTTTACCTGTTATGCTTATTAGTACAGTTAGTTCTCAGGCCTAATGGCGCACGCGGGAACTCCTGCAATTGGGTCCTGGTGATTTGAATGTACTATATCTTGACATGCTCTTTGGTTGCAAGTTATTCCTAACAGTGTTCCTGTCAATGCACCTTTAGCTTCAATAAAAGTAAAACCTTTCTACAAGCGTGTACTTCGTTGTCGCTGGGGGGAACCTGACAACTGGAGAATTTCCAGATTAAAACCAGATAAACTCATACTCAAAATATCAACTCTAACAGAAGCACAACTTTTGACTTTTAATTCAGGGTATTATCGGGTTTTAATGGCCTTATCAGCTTTTTAATGGCCTGCTTCTGTTTTATGGATCGTTTCTATGCTGCTTGTTTTTTAATGGCTTGCTTTTAATGCCAGAGTTTTTAATTGTAAGCTTCCTCAAACAGGACTCTGGAGAACATAGAAATGTTATAAATAAACAAATAAGAGTGTGACTTTCTTAGTATTACACTGTTACTGGGACATCCTGGTTCAGTTGGAGACTGACAGAACACTTTCTTCAAGAATAATTTCTATAACAATATTTTTTATTAAGGTCATAAAAATTAAGATTACAGTTTTATGCAACAAACGAGAATAGAACAGAAGTAATTGCTGGAGTTAGGGTGGCACTTTTTCCTGCTTGCCAAGTTTACAGTAATTGCTGGTGGTTATAGCTAAGATTGCCCCGTGTAGACATTTCCCCACAAGTGCAATTAGAACTGAAACAAAGACCTTATTGAGTGCATCTTCATGCTCCTGCACATTTTATTCCCACCACACTTCAAAGGAGAATTCACGGGCCTGGTCTTCCCCACATATTGTACAATCCAGACAGGTGTACAGATAAGGGTCAGTCAGTCAATCAAATAGTTTATTGTATATAGCCATAGGCCATTACAAGTTGAGAAGCCACAAAATACAGTGATAAATAAAGCCGTAAAACTAGAATATAAACATTTGTGATTAAAACAGATTAAAATTTAACAGACTACATTTTCAAGAAACCACCCTCAACAATACCCTCTCAGAGCTTAACTTTTTTACTGCAAAGGCAAATAGAGAGACTTTGTAGGATATATATGCATTATCATCAGATAGCAGGAATACAATCTTCTGGTCTACAGAATATGAGTTTATGGCAGATAAAATTGCTGCCAAAAATTTAACCCCGGGGTTAGTATATAACGGACAAAATAAGATATTATGGGGTAAATCCTCTGGTGTAAGCGATCCACAGACACAGACAGGTTGGTCCAATGGTATTTGAAGATAGCAGCTGGTCAGAACAGTCTAGGGCTGCCAAGCCGCGGCGGGGGATCCGTGCGTCTTCACAGGATCCCTGCCGCGGGGGACAGTGATACGCGTTGCACAGCCATCGCCAGGATGTGACGCTACGCGTCGCTCTGGCAACGGGACTCCAAACAGCCTTGTTGCCAGAGCAATGCGTAGCGTCACATCCTGGCGACGGCGGTGCAACGCGTATCACTGTCCCCCGCAGCAGGGATCCTGTGAAGACGCACGGATCTCCCGCCGCGGCTTGGCAGCCCTAGAACAGTCATTGGCATAGATTGAAAATGAAATGATGTAAAGGTCCTCCTAAGAATGTGGTTGGAGATGTTGGTCAAATAAGCTGATCTAAAATGATCTAGTTTAAATAATTATACCACGGTACTACAGATAGGGTTGTCAACTCTGGGTTGGGAAATTCCTGGAGATTTGGGGGTAGAGCCTGGAGATGGTGGGGTCTGGGGAGAGGATGGGCCTCAGTGGGTTATTATAATGTCATAGACTCCACCATTCAAAGCAGCCACTTTCCCCCAGGGTAACTGGTCTCTGTCTTCTGGAGTTCAGTTGTAAGTTTGGGGCATCTCCAGGCCCCACCTGGAGATTGACAACTCAATGTATAGACTTTCTCATAGTAGTAGTAGAAGAAGAAGAGATTGGATTTATACCCTGCCCTTCACTACCCAAGGGAGTCTCAGAGCGGCTTACAAACTCCTTTCCCTTCCCCTCCCCACAACAGACACCCTGTGAGGTAGGTGGGGCTGAGAGAGCTCTGACAGAAACTGCTCTTTTTCAAGTACAGCTCTTATCAAAACCACAAACACACATAAAACAGTCTTACATGAAGGTCCACTGTAGGTGGGCAATTTTCTCAGTGGAGGGTGGTAAGCAGTGGGGTACCGCAGGGATCAGTACTTGGTCCACTGCTTTTTAACTTGTTCATTAATGATTTGGAGATGGGAGTAAGCAGTGAGGTGGCTAAATTTGCGGATGATACAAAGTTGTTCAGGGTGGTGAAAACCAGTGAGGATTGTGAGGCACTCCAAGGGGATCTGTCAAGGATGGGCGAGTGGGCGTCAACATGGCAAATGTGGTTCAATGTGGCCAAGTGCAAGGTGATGCACATTGGAGCCAAAAATCCTAAATATAAATACACATTGATGGGGTCTGAACTGGCAGAGACTGAGCAAGAGAGAGATCTTGGAGTTGTAGTGGATAACTCACTGAAAATGTCGAGACAGTGTGTGACTGCAATAAAGAAGGCCAATGCTATGCTGGGGATTATTAGGAAGGGTATTGAAAACAGATCAGCCAATGTAATAATGCCCCTATATAAATCAATGGTGAGACCTCATTTGGAATACTGTGTACAGTTCTGGGCACCACACCTTAAAAAGGATATTATAGCTTTGGAAAAAGTGCAGAAAAGGGCAACTCGAATGATAAAAGGGTTGGAACACTTTCCCTATGAGGAAAGGTTAAAGCGCTTAGGGCTCTTTAGCTTGGAGAAAAGACGACTGAGGGGTGACATGATCGAGGTTTATAAGATTATGCATGGGAAAGAGCAGGTAGAGAAAGAGGTACTTTTCTCCCTTTCTCACAATACAAGAACTCGTGGGCACTCCATGAAACTGCAGAGCGGTTGGGTTAGAACGGATAAAAGGAAGTACTTCTTCACCCAAAGAGTGATTAACACATGGAATTCACTGCCACAGGAAGTGGTGGGTGCTACAAGCATGGACGGCTTCAAAAGGGGATTAGATAAGCATATGGAGCAGAGGTCCATCAGTGGCTATTAGCCACAAGGTATAGCTAGGGGCTCTGGGGCAAGTGATGCTCTGTCTTCTTGGTGCTTGGGGGGGCGTCAACAGTGGGAGGGCTTCTAATGTCCTGGCCCCACCGGTGGACCTCCTGATGGCACTGGTATTTCTGGCCACTGTGTGACACAGAGTGTTGGACTGGATGGGCCTTTGGCCTGATCCAACATTGGCGTCTCTTATGTTCTTATGTTCAGAACCGTGATTTCTCTTGATTTCATTTAATTGTTAAAGCAAAGAGAGATGAAGGTGAAGAAACGCTTTTAAAGTACTGGAGCAAGTCATTTCTGTAGCTTGAGATAACCTACCCTCATCCGAACTATAACCCCATGTATTATGTATGCATTTTAAAGCAGAAAAATTCTTTTGGATGTGAGAATATACAGAGGCTCTAATTTGATTCAACAAACATGATGACAGAACAGGAGAAAACAGAAACCCAGAATCTTGATAGTTGGTCTGATGTTCTTCCTCTTACTTCAGATCTTAAAATGTCAGCACAGTGCGGATGCTGAAATATGAAATGATGACTATAAGAACTTGGCAAGCCACATTCTAGACATTCAAGCAGAGCTGCTAGCATTAACTTTCCACCACAGGATGCAACCTGTTCCTGGGGAAAGTTACCAGGACATATCCTGGAAAACCAGATTGTGTACCTTTAATTACCATTCTTTGAAGGGTCACCCGTGCAATCACATAAGGGTTCTGCGCTGAAAGAGAAATGTAGAATTCTAACCTAGGAAACGGCATTCACCACAAGGGAGCTTTTTGACCCTGTGCACATCTTGAGGGGAGGGGATGGGAGGGACACTTTTCTGCTCAGTTCCTTCAGCCTGCACATGCAGCTCTTCCAACATATGGAGAAAGAAGCATGTGTTGTGTTGGGGCACAGATGACTGCTCAAAGAACATGAATTACAGGCAGGGCTCTTTTTGTAGAAAAAGCCCAGCAGGAACTCATTAGCATAATAGGCCACAACCAACAGCAGAAACTCATTAGCATATTAGGCCACACCCCTGACAGTGCCGCGCAGCAGCGGGGCGCTTGTGCAAGCCGGCCCTTGGAGGGGACGAGAGCCAGTTTAAACTGCCGTCCCTTGGGTTGCCTGGGTGCCCCACGGCTGTGGGGTGCCTGTGCAAGCCAGCCCTTGGACAGGCCGGAAAAGGCATGGGGAGGCATTTAAATGCCTCTCCAATCCTTCCAGGGGCCCCCCTGGCCTGTCCGCCTCAGAGTCACCAGGAGGGTTGATCTCCAGGCCTTCCCTCTGTAGCCACACATGCAGAGGTTTTGGCTGTAGTGGGCGTGGCCAACTCTGAAGCCAGCCGGAACTCCGTTCCTGTGCGTTCCTGACCCAAAATAGCCCTGATTACAGGTAAGCAAACTGTTTTTCTTCTTCATGGCCTCTGTGCATATGAGAGATGGGGGTGTGAGGAAACAATTCTTGAGAGTGGGCTTTTCTGTATTATCGTTTTCCTAGCTTGTGTGTTCCTGTTGCTTCAGGGTTTCCCCCCCCTGTTCCACGTGTGTTTTGCTCCCACTAGTGGTCGATTCTATATTACATCACGTTATGTCCAGCAGAAAACCCTGAAGCTTAAATCTGCAGGGAGATATGCTGGACAAAAAGCAATGTAATATCGACTCAACCACTAGAGGGAGAAAAACATACGTGGAACAGAAAACCCCTCCCCATGCAACAGGAGCTCGCAAGGAGAAGAAGAATGCAGGAAAGCCCAGTGGTACATCAGGGTTTAACTCCCAATTGTGAAGGAGGAGAGATAGCATTGGCACAAGTGATGGCCCCAGCAATATAAATTGTATAGCCAGCCACCACTGGCACTGCAACAGAGGTAGACAAGGGAGGCACTCAGAATTCGAATATTTCAACACTTTGTTGTTGTTGCTCTTTGTCCTTATCACCAGTGATGTTAACATGCACTCGTGTATTGGAGCCATTGCAGTGATTGCAGAGAAGCTTCAGCAGAGCTTGGCTTCTGTCTGTATGTTTTTATGCACTTGCGTTTCAGCTTTTCGAAGTGGAAATATGAGTCTGGAGATGCAGCAGACATGGCTCCAGAAGGTAAAAAAACCTGAAGGGCACGTGACCCTGAGTGACAGCATGGGTGGGGCAAATTGGAAAAAATAAATAAAGCCAAGGCCAATTGTAATGTATTGAAATCGCTTGTGTATGAATCGCCTCATTCACTCCCCATGCAAAGCTTGAGCCAGACAAAGGCTCCTCCGAACCTCTCTCTCATTGGTAGCCCTCTAGCAGCGACCAATCAGGAACTGCACAAGCTCCAGCGAGGGAAAGACTCTCATTGGTCTTTAACTACTCAATCTCATTGGTTGTTATCTGTAAATAGGCGTGGCTATGTTAGCCCGGTAAGGTTTAAAAGGAGCCTTGCTCCCTATGTTAACCTGTTCTGGTTTTGAATGCGTTTGAGTGTTTGTTCGCTACTTCAATAAAGCTGAATCACTGAGCTGAAATCATTCTCCGATCCTTTGTTAGCACGATCTAACACCAATGGTGCAAAATCAGGTCAAAGTATATTTTATTACTCAGTTAAATTTCCAAAAATTCCCTACGTGTTTTGCCAACGGGCTCCATCAGGGGAATCTGTCTTGCAGTAGTTCATTTTTGAGGAACTACTGCAAGACGAACAGATTCTCCTCACAAAGCCTGTTGGCAAAACGTGTA